GCATGCGCGATGGGTTTTATTGTCCCATCCGGCATTTTATGCAGTATACACGCCCAGACACCATAGGCGCTCGCATCACTTGCTACTATTATTTCTAATTTGGGATCTTAGTGTGCCAAAAATAAATCCGAAATTAACGTCTTAATTATTTTGTCAAACGCATTCTGGCATTCATCTGTCCACTCCCAAACCTTTTCTTTTTTCAGCGGTTCGTTCAGTGGTGCGCGAAGCTTATGCATGTGAGGAATGAATTCCTGGTAATAATTCACTAAGCCTAGAAAACTTTGGATTTCTGGTATGTTTTTTGGAACTGGCATTTTTTTTTTATTGCCGTTGCCCTTTCAGAGTCTGGTCGTCTTCCTTCTTGTTCGTTGATATGGCCCAGGTATTTTATTTCCTTCATAAAAAAATCGCACTTGTTTTCTTTTACCTTAAACCCATAGCTTTGTATTCTCCTGAACACCTCTTGTACGTGATTCCAGTGTTGTTCTACACTTTCACTATTTATCAATACGTCATCCAGGTATGCAATCATATACTCTAGTCCGGCGAGCATAGTATCCATTGTCTGTTGGAATATAGCCGGCCCCACCTTAATCCCAAATGGTAAACTTTGATATCTGTATAATCCTTTGTGTGTGTTTATGCAGAGTAATTTTGAACTTTTCTCATCGACTGGGATTTTTAGGTACGCATCACTTAAATCTATTTTTGAAAAAAAATTTCCGCCGTTTAATTTTGTGAATACTTCTTCTGAACTGGGTTGAGGATAATGGTAGTCTTTTATCGCCGCGTTCAAACCCGTTGAAAAATCAGCGCATACTCGAATCTCCCCTGATTTTTTTTTTTTTTACGTAAACCGTGGGTGCGGCCCATTGACTCTATTCTACTTTTGTCAATATGCCGGTGTTTTCGAGTCTAGCCAATTCTTGATCTATTTTTTCTATTGAAGCAAACGGTACGCTCCTTTTTTTCTTGAAGATAGGTTGAACGTTTTCTTTTATTTCGATAAACACTCAGATTTTGTAGTTATTATATTCTTAACTGAAAAAAGATTTCTTTATTAATAATAATTATGCAAAACCACAACAATTTACAGACGAATTTTCAAATTTTATATCAGAAAAATTAGATTTTAGTTAACCTAAAATTTGATACGCACAAAAATAAAAAAAATATAACATTTTTACATAGAAAAGTTCTTCTACATATATATCCGATGTAATAATTGTCACAAGAAATTAGAGAAATTCAAAGAAATGATTATACCGAATTCCTTCCATGGTTTCAGTTATCATTTCTAAACTATTTCCCCCACAATGCTTGTGAATTTGATATTATTCCTGCAATTGTCAGAAAGAAATGTTCTCCTGAACTGGCTCCTGTTCTCTCCAGACTTTACAAGATGCTACGATATTAATTGCTTTCCTTCTTGTTGGTGGTCCTTATCTGTAGCCCCTGTTTTTAACAAATATGAGAAATATTTCAACACCACTAAAAAAAATAAAAAAAAAATATCGCCTTATTAAAATCTTACCTATTTTTGGCAAAATAGTATTTGCTCTAATCCATACAGAATTAGTTAAGCATCTAACTTCACATGGCCACCTTTCGGATAAATAATATGACTTCAGTTTCTCCTGGTTTATCACCTATGTATTAACGGCTATAACTGCATTTGTCTATGAAGCTTTTGATAAGAATGGTGACGCTCACGTCGGCTGCTTTAGATATTTCAAATACGTTCTGCAGGATTTGGCATGCTGGCCATCTCCACAAGATCAAGAGCTATGATGTCTCTGGATAAATATTTGGCTTCTATCATTGTTCATTTTTTAAATGTTTAAAAAAATAATTCTCTATTCATTTTGTCATAAATGCCTAAGTAGCCATTCAAACAGACTGATTATCCTCAGGGAAAGCCAGATAAGAAAGAAACAAAAAGATAACGAATGTTTTATTTTAAATCTTACCAAATATAAAGCAATGCAGCTGGAATTGACGGTAAGGAAACCAATAGAACAATCAGCGTCCATGTTCTTATATAATACGCCAATAAATTAACAACCAGAAGTCCGAATGTGAAATACAGTTGAATAGCAACGGAAGCATCCGTCCTCTTTTTCATTGATGAAAGTTCAGTTCCTTTAAAATACAAGATGAAATTAAAAGGAGGAAAAATACCAATTTGAGATGATCTATTTTTTAACAAATTTAAAATTTCAAAACCAGTTTAAAAATTATAAATAAAAAATGTGCAGTGAACATTTGCAAGCTAATCACCCAGCTTATTCACTAATGTAATGAGTTCCATATTCATTGCGTGCTTCAAGTAGATAAATCTTAAATCTATACATTATGACTTACAGTTAAGAAACCCTGAAATCCATTTCTGAAGATCGTAAATAGTGTGATATTGAGTTAATTCTTAATAATCTCTCTATGGATCATGGACTGCATCGTGGCTGAAATTGCTACGTGTTCCTGTTCGATACCAAAGAAGAGCTGAAAAAAAATTTGAAGGTTCATTTTCATGTCAGGTTGGAAATCCTTACTAGACAGGTAATGATAACTCAATCTTATTAGTTTTATATCCGTTGTTTTATTTACACAGTATCTCAGACAATATATACACACTTTTACAGTATATAGCTCAAGTCAACGATTTTTTTGCAGATTTACACATTCCTATTACTAATGTCATCCAGGACTTAGCTTTGAAAAAAATGTTCATCTTGAAATCCTGCTGGAAGTACAAAAATCCAGTTAAAGTTCAAAGACGTTCTGGAAGTGCGTTTCATCCAGAACCCCCCACCACCAGCACGCGGCTTATAATCTCACGTATGAGATATAAGTTTGAAACAGATGGTACTGTACACGAGTGTCTCGAAGACCACAGATATCAACAAGCTATTTAAATCAAGAAAGTGTGATGGAAAATGTTCAGATAAATGCAAGAAACCTATCGAAATGTTAATTTCTCCTTGTGATTCCATTGCGTCGTCATCAAAGTCTGCATCATAACAAACATCAAATTAAAACAATAAGATCACAAAAATGCATTTGTTATAAATACTGTCTTCATACGTATTATTAAATTTGATATAGTTGGCTGTAGTTGCGTGAATTACTTCTTCACAAAGGTTCAGAATATGTATATATATTTTAAAGACACTCTGTATATACATAAAATATTCAATATCGACACGATGTGTGCATATATCTTTGTTTCCTATTTTAATCTTGCTGTTTTGTTTTGCATTTTAGTTTTCTAGTTGTTTACCAATGGACTAATTACAGTTTTATTAATGTACATAGCCAATCAATATGCATAACCAGTCAACATTAATCAACTCGGCCCGAAATAATTTATCACTTCTTTTAGAAGAAAAGCATTCTTGCTATAACACAAATGTGTAATAATCTATTAGCTTACTGAATTAAAAGTTTTAAATAATTTCCATCTTGTTAAAAATGCTCGACATTTCCTTACCAACGGTAATGTTAAGGGAAACATTCAGCATTTATTAACCTAGAAGCCAGTGCTGCTGACCGTTGAAATTTATATAATTTTTCGCGTAAAACAATTTTTTCAAGAAAAATTATTTCTTAAGTCCACTAACTGCTATCGCTCATTCCAGCTTCTTTCTGGTGTCTACTTTCCTAACAATTTTTTTCAAAGTAGTGTAGAACCTCTACTTCTTGATTATGTTATTATTCAACTTTCGAGTTGCATGTATTATCCATTTTCTTTGTTGCTATTGTTGAAAGAACTCAGGTTATGTGATTTTTATTATTTACCACAGTTCTGTTTTTGTCATAATCGTGATAAAAGAATAACACTTAGCTTCAAATACTGCATTTTTTTTTCCAATTGCAAGATGACATTTCAACACAGCTGGATTAAATAGACTATGACAAAAATTACTTGTCCTCGTATTACAATGGATTAGCACATAGAATAGAAGATTGTGAAATTCAATGTTATTCATGGTTTACACAACTTCTTTATCTTTTATGTGCCATGTCCCTTCGGAGCGGAAGTGATCATGGCTCTCCACAATTTCCTGTCCTTTGTAGGTCATAATACATTTCTGATACCATTTACACAAGATTGTTTGGTATGTTATGCTTTTTCCCCCTCAATCTCTATTGACATTGATCCGCCCTGTGAGGATAAAATTTTCCAAGCCATCTTTCCCCAATTTGTGCTCGAGAAATTTTAAATCTCTCTTTATTACGTTAAGTATAAGAGCGCTTTTTGTTTCTATTTCCTCCGAAACTTTGTTGTTGCTCACAGGTTCAATCCATGGTATTCTTAGCATCCTTCTGTAGAACCACATTTCTCTTGCTTGAAGTCTGTTCTTCATCTGTGAGGAGATTGTTCAGCATTCACTGCCATATGGGAGGACTGATATTGCATAACAATTCAGTACTCTTTATTCTGTGTCTAACGAATTTTTTCTGTTTATTAATACTTTGCTTAGCTTTGGAAGACATCTTTCGCTATTCGCATTCGGATTTCAGTGCCACACGTTCCGTCCACTGCTAAAACACTTTGCAGATATCTAAATTGTTGTAATTCTTTGTTTCCGTAACTTCAATTAGTAATTTGCATTTTGGGCTCTTCCAAGTTTGTTTAAGTAAGGTCTTTTTTAATTACAAGACAATAAGTTATCAAGGTTTGTGGTCGAGAGAGCTGGATTTTCCAACCGCACGAACCCAGGTAAGACGCAATGTATTTTCTAATGATGACTTTATTGCAGTCAAGTCATGCTTATTTGACTTTCAGTGCTACACTATCTTACTAATATTATTTACTTTCTCACATGCAACTTTGGATCAGCCTAAGTTTACTAGTAAACAGAACAAGACAGAACACATTGCTATTTTCTAGTTTACTCGTTGCTATATTCACTCACGAACTATAATATAAAAGGAGAAAAGAAATCCTCAAACGGTAAAGATTTTCGCCGGTTGCAATAAGTAAAATGCCTCACCGAAGACACATGATGGAATAAATGAACCAGCACCTCCGATGGCTGTGAAAAAACGTAATATGAGAATTGCATTGATGTTCCTGATTTGTGAAGACAAAATTCCAGCGATACCTTGCATCATTAGTGCACCGGCAATGACAGTTTTGCGTCCAAATCTGGAAAGAAACGTAAGAACGCTTTGATGTAAATCAGAAGAAACTAATGTTATATATATATATATATCAACCTAAATATATATATATATATATATAAACTTTATTGCGAACAGTCTTCCAGGCCTGCTAGGTGATATACCCCTGCTAATACGAAGAGGCATGTGATTCTTTTCTGATGGGCCTCCAGCACATTTAATCACATTTTTGCGATGCATTAGTTGACATGAAAGATTGTTAGGTAGAGAAGACCGATTCCACAGCCTGCAAGTTTCTCCGACCACAATCGTTTGAGTTGGTATCTGTTGGGCCACCTAAATCAATTGGTTTATGTAGCAGACATTAATAATTCAGAAACGCTTCATCAACGTGTCATGGGGGCCTGCAAAACGATTCGACACCGTGTGGCATCATGTGAAAGGGTCCACCAGATAATGATCCGAGAGGTGCATACGTGTGTAAAAGGAAGCGGAGGATATTTTGAACATTTGTTATGAGTTGCTATGTTGAGGTACAAAAATGGCCTTTTGGATTTATGTACATATGGACATTTTACCTGGTTTTGGTTTCAGGATCCTGCCCCTAAATTTTGTAAAATTAGTTTTGGATTGTATATTTGATTGTACTTTTGAGAGTGTCTACTATAAACTTCAAACTTAATAACTAAAACGAATGATTTGAAGACATCAGTTTATATGGACTTTTGTCCTCAAAGTTTGTAAAAGTTTTTGATACTCTTTCTATTGTCTCTTTCTTTCTTTCTTTCTTTCCCTCCCTCTCTCTATCTCGCTCTCGATATATATATATATATATATATATATATATATATATATATATATATATATATATATTCAAAACAAAACATTAGGCAATTCGAGGAGTTGTGATTCAGCTCTTCCAAAACGAGTGATTGGATCTGCACAAGCTTGCACCAATGTAATTAAATTATATGCGCAATTAGTCTGGTTGTTCGGTTCTAAGAGCGGAACGACAGGAGAGTCCAGTATATGCTTTCGTTCGTCGATTGAGTACTATGGAGAAAGGCAATTTGTAACGTTTGCTGCTTGTAATTAATGCATAGCACTTTTTCAGAATTGAGCGCTCTGACTGCTGGCCCAGAGTTTATATGCATCACACACACACACACACACACACACACACACACACACACACACACACACACAAAGCGTCCAACACATTTCCGTCAATCTGTATAAATGACCAAACGGAATTTGGTCAGGGGATGGTTTTTCATCAGACGAAGAAATTTATCACTCCATTTATATATATTCCTCTTTCTGAAAACCATACATTCTGTTTTCTTTTAAATGTTTTAACCCGCTTTCTTTTACTATCTTGTTTTGGCGTTTCTACAGTTTTCTTCTGATATCAACATAGTATTATCTGCATATCTTATGTTGTTAATTTGGCACCCACCAATAATAAATCATGGTAGGACTTCTAATTCTCTTAGGAATACTTCGCAGTAAAGTCGAATATATCCGCTGGGAAAACACGAACTTATCTTGCTCCAGTCTCTATTTTTGTGTATATATTCAATGAATTTTCTATACGTATGCGGAAGGCGTATTTCAAGTATATAGCCTGGATTATTATTCTAATGTCTTTTCCAATTAAATCAAATGTTCATAACAGTTCAAATATATCATTGTATCGCACCTTCTCAAACGCTTTTATCGTATTATATTATCTAATGTATTTGTGTATTTATTTATTATTTCCGTAATCTTTTCGACACTGAAAACGTATGATGTTGACAGCCTCCCTATTACAGTCCCGTCTGTTACTGCTGCTTCATTCTTGTTCATTTTGCCCAATAATAATATTAATATTTCAATTCCTTCTATATGTTTATGTAATTTTCCTCTTTCGCCGTAGAAGATGTCTCCAATATATTCGTTCCATATCTTTTCTCCTGTGAGCATTCTCTGTTTTGATTTTAAAACTAAAATTAAAATCTCACACATGGCGCAATAGATACAGTAGCATCCATTATTAAAGTTTTTGTTCTCTATTCTTTTTAAATTTTTTTTTTTACTTTTATGAAAAATTGACATAGTTTAGAATATGTTTTACGTGTCATTACTGTGAATTTTATTACTATTGAATTTTCAGAATGGGCATGTTTTGATTTGTAAAGTTTAGTTTTCTAATTTTCGGCGCTGCTATGCTTAGAATGAATAAATAAGATGAAAAAAAATTCTCCGAAGATCTACTTACCGATCAGAAAGCCATCCACATGACAGCATAGCCACCAAATAACCACCAAAAAAGACAGTACAAATATGTTGGGCGATCCACCCTTTGCCACAAACTAAATTAAACTAGAAAAAAAGATAAAAATATTTTAAAAAATGCTTTTGATACTCATCGGTATAAATGTAGATTTTCGAGAAAATTGCTAATGTGTTTGACTGGATTAAAATATTGATGAATATATAAGACAGATGATCAAATAGTGATGCCTCTTCTAGTTAATCTTGAAAAAATCTAATCAGAATTCGTAGAGGATATTAAATGCAAATATCAAACTGTTAACTTCTCTTTTACTGAACATAGACCTCTTTCAAAATAGTAGATAGCAAAATATGTCATAAAATCTCTTTTTTGTAAAGAGAAACTCTATTGGTTAAAATGGTTGATGTATGGCAGCACACGATGTAAGCATAGTAAAGATAGCTGTAATGTAATGGTGATCGTAGAGAAAAAGAAATTGACCTTAGTGATAGTTTCTGTAGTGGTAGGACAATTGATGTTGATAATGAGAAAAGGCTTACAGATAGCAGAAAAATCCCTATTGCAAAATTGTATGAAAATGTTTAGGTAAGCCATCATACTGTCTTCATTTTAGGGAAGTCCCTTGGCTAATCAAATATTTGTGCAAATTGAGTTCCAAGGCTGATGACACGGAGAGAACTCAGAAAACTATGGCTTTCCAAAAATAATGAGATGAAATAGGCAACTCACGTGTTAAAAACAACCAAATTGTTACCATAAAGTGGCTATACATTTGTATTCATTTTAGTATAGTTTGTGTTCTTTTATTATTAAATATATTAAAATATAGAAAGAAAAGTTTATTGCTTAAGGAAAATAATTGTAATGAGTAGAAGATATTTAGGGATTATGAGAGAAAGTAAAAAAAAAGATTTTTGCTAAGAACTACAAAGGAATGGAAGTTGTGGAGAGCCAGTATCTCGCGCGTTCTGAAGCGACAGGGCACATATTAGAAGTGTACATTGGAAAAGTAGTATGTCTCTGAAATGAAAAATCCTGATTTGAAACATCCGTTGTCTTGCAAACTATATCCAATCTTGTATGTTTTCCAACCGAAACAGGAAATCCAGAGACGAGAGAGCGAACAGTACAGATTTTTCAAGCGTAGCTTAGATGTGGCATAGGGCATCCAGTAAGGATCGAACTCACTTTTCAGTAGTAACTGACATAGCAAGACAAGCTTGCTAACCATTAGACCACGCCAAGGTGCCCCAGAGCTAATAGTATAGTATGGCGATAAGTTAGGTCGGCATCAGTGTCAGACAAACATAGATATATCTAGGATAGGTACGTCATTGATAATCGATTGTTGAAATATTGATTTGTCATAGATCCATGAACTATAATTACCCACCGTCTGGTTTCCCAGACCATTTTTTCACATAAAGATAACAGCTATTGTACACCGATTTTCCCTCCACTGTCTTCTCCAGAATGTATTCTTCAATAAGCTTTTCAGGGGTTCCACTTTGGATTCCTTAAGTGCCATTTATCAAATAAGGAATAGCACATCTTTAACGGAAAAAATAGAGGCATAAATCGTGAATTTCAAGGATTATTTGAATTATTATTACATTTATTATATTGATTCTTACGATCATTTATAATTCAATCATAAGAACTCACTCACCAAGTGCTTTCATCATTTTAAAATACTAAAAGTTTTTGAAAACGGACTAATTGTACTTGTTTCTGACTGACATTTGATAGGTGAAACACGAAAGTGAAGTGCTGACAGTAGAGTATAGTTGTTAAATAGGTCTGCATCAATGTCAGACAAACAGATATATCTAGGATACTTACGTCACTGATAATCGATTTTTGAAATATTGATTTGTCATAGACCCAAGAACTGCAATTACCCAGCGTCTGGTTCTCCACAACACCAACACTTTTATTGACATAAAGATGGCAGCTACTGTACACAGGTTTCCCGTTCACTGTTTCCTCAGGAATGTGTTCTTTAATAAGCTTTTCATGGGCTTCGCTTTGGATTTCGTACGTGTCATTTGTTAAATCAGGAATAGTGCACCTTTAACGGAAAAAAATCAAGATATTATTATTATTATTATTATTATTATTATTATAATTTATCGGAAAAATAGGGAAATATATTATTGAAAAAATAAAGAAGTAAATTGTGAATTAAACGAAATATTTCTTTTCATAATTATTTGAATTATTATTACAATTATTATATTGATTATATTATATTAAAGGTTGGAGCATATTTCATCACCTACATGACATAAGCACAAAATTGGTTACCTCGAGGCATTGTAATGGTTAGCAAGTGTGTCTTGCTAGAACAGTTACGACTGAGTTCGATCCTCACTGAGCGCCCCATACTTTCGGCCTTGTCCCACATCTAAGCTACGCTTGGAAAATCAACATAAACAGAGAACATTTTACTTAAATAGGAGAATAATTCAACACCAACGTAACTTACGCAGGAGTATAATTCATCATCTATAATACTTAAGCAGTAGAATAATTCATCACGGAAATCACTTAAGCAGGAGAATAATTCATCACGGAAATCACTTTATCACCGAAAAATAGGGACATAAATTTTGAATTTAAGAATTATTTCCAAGGATTTTCTGAATTATTATTACATTT